GAGTACTTTTGGATGATATCGATAGGTGAGAGACCTGTGTCGTGGAGCTCAGGGGGTCGTGAGGTGTCTAAACCTGTCAGTAACTATCATCACTTGAGAATATAGTTGCAACTTACCGGGCATCTCGTGGATCTGTGTATCAGCCACCTCAGCGGGAGAAGCAGGATAAGCAGGAGTATCAGATGGTGACGGCGACAAACCGACGAATCTCGCAGTTGAGGCAACTTCAGTTCCAGGGCTTGTCGGGGTCTCGTCTGTTGTGACTGTAGGGGCCTTTTCATTGTGTTGGCCTCTGATCCACGATCGGATACGTGAGCCTGGATCTTCAGTACCGTAATCGCTTGATCGGTTCTTGAAGATCTTGCGACGGCGCCAGAGGCAGAAGACAACAAGAATACCAGTCACAAACATCAGTCCAAGAACGACTCCAAGAACTGGTGCAACCCAGTTTGGAAGGCCAGAGCCGCCGCTCTTGTTATCGTCATCATCGTTGTTGTCGCCACTGTCGAGTCGAGGTCTTCCTGTAGAGACTGCTTTTGTATAAGGCCAGTATTCTTTGATCTTCTTGGTGTCATATTTAGTGCCGAAGATGTCTTCAAGGGCGGACGTTGACCAGCCATCAGCAGGGGCAGTCGCCGTTGCGCCACCTTTGGCATCACCTCCGATTTCAGAATGAATCTTCTCGTGTACGCCGTAATCACTGTACTCGTCAGGATCATACCCGTTCAACCACTGTCCACTAGAAACGTTAAGGTTCACAATTGGGCCCTTGTCAAGACAGGTAATCGAACTTCCGGCTTGAGTCGTGTAACCACCAAAGACAAGCATTTGGTCAGGGTATGGCATGAAGCACTTGTGTCCAGCGCGAGCATGAAGAGATTTTCCTTCGTTGATCTTGATCCAAGTGAAGGATGGCAAAGAGAGTACCCAGACATCATCACTGAAAGCGTCCAATGGATGGACACCATCAAACCCGCCATAGTAGAAGATGTTGAAGCTTGAACGATCTGAAGCCGTAGCGACAACGGCACATCCTCGAGTTCGTGCGCCTGGGCCATCCTTGGTTTCCTGCTTGTACCACTTCTTGTTGTCTATGTCGTAGACGTCGATTGTCTGCATAAACTCGGGGCTTTGTTTTTCCTGTGATCGCAAAGTGTCAGTATTACTCACACACTGATGTTAGTTTGGAGACGACTTACACTCTCTGTCTCATTTGCGGATTTGCCACTTCGTCCTGCCCATTCAGGATACACAACACCTCCCAGGACAACAAGAATACCCTTCTTGCCCACGGGCACCCAAACAACCTCTGCATTGGCACGTCCCTTGGGGCCCTTCAGAGTTGTGTTGGTCCAAGTTTCGTAGAGTTGTTCCTCCATGTTCAAAGTAATAAGCGTGTCGGAGACATTCGTGGCCTTGTTCTTCGCATCGTTCGTGAAGAATGCTCCATAGGTCGGTGACCTCAGGCCAGAGAAATAGAACGCAAGGTTTTCAGATGGTACATTTGCAGCTCCTCCATAGGCGACGTATCTAGTGACGTCTTTGTCCAGCTTGTCATCAACAAAACTTGGCTTCCATGTCGGCTTGTCCGGTCCATACTGGTATGCCTGATAACCCAAGACTTCATCCTTATCGGGTGCCTGGTACAAGTCGTCGTTTCGCAATAGATCGCCACCGTAAAGAAAGAATTCAGCATCATTACCAAGAAGAGCGCCGTCGACAAAGTTAGGCGCAGCTCCGTTACTGTTTCCTGAGCCGCCCCGAGCCTTTGACATGGCTGGTTTGTCGAGGAGAATCTGTGTCACATTCGTCGTCGTATTAAATGGAGTGCTCAGATTGAAGTTGAGGATAATACCCTCGTTGTTACCTTGGATTGTTAGTTTGTCCAAGATCAATAGACCGGAACGACCAACCTGTGTCAAGTCCCGTAACTGTTTTGCCATCATTCATATATGCTGTCCATTTGATATCACCGCCATCCAGGTACACCATATCCCGAATCATAATTGCTGATTAGACATTAGATAAAGCTTTTGGCTGTATGTGGAGACGATATTCTTACCTCTTGGCTGCTTCCAAATACATATTTCAGTACTGATTTGGCCATCTTGCCAGGCATCAAATTGTGCGACGGCTGGACCTATGACCGCGGCCAGGAATGCCCACGGTGCAGCGTTTCTGAACATCATGACTGCAATCATGAGCTATTCAGAGGGCGTCGCACAGAGCAGGCGTTTGAAAGAAATTAACTGCAAGAAGATGCTAGTGGACCATTGCTTATCCTGTCCTAAAGACTCTCCCAATGGCCCGCAAAGAGACCGAATATCCGCTGGGAGGCAAAGTGCACACAAGTAACAAGGCTACTTCGGGAAGGTAAGCAATCCCTATTGAACAAAGAAACAGCCTCGGCCTAGAATCAAAGATCACTAAAGTGTCCGAGCAGCTCGATGCTTGGTGGGTTTGTGCAATATGCACGCGCAAGGATCAGGGAATTAGACGCCAAGGCAAAATGATTGTAAGATGAGAGAGCAAACGGTACAGAGAGAATCCAAAACGGTCTGTAAGACAGAATACTAAGATGGAAGGCAGGTGTACAGTATTCTCTGTCGAGCAAACGTTCGCCACTGGGACCAGTTGAGATCGGAGGGGATGGGGAATGGGTAGGGCTGAGGGATCAGCTGTTCCTCATGTCCTGACAGCACATTCGTGGGTTGGGGGGTTAAAGAGCCATTGAGCCATATCCATGCCCTTCGGTGGCTGCCCATGCGAATATGGACACCATCTTACTGCGGTGCAGCATGCTCTGCATGCGTTGGCCCCGGTGATGGTTATGCTTCCGAGCTGACACCGTTCTGTAAGGACATTACTTTTGACAAGGATCACTCCCATGTCTCTACTCAGCCTCAATCCTCTGGAGCCTGAATCTCCCGCTAAATGATGGGTAGCTAGGCTGACCGTTGACAATGGTTCATCCACTTCAAGTGTGGAAATTTTCAGAGCGGTAAACATGTGGATATCCTGTTGCTAAGGGCTGACCTCGAGGAGTTTTTGATCTAGGATCGACCTGGGATTGAGCCAGGGTGTAGGCACTGCTCCGAACAGGCCCTTTCAGCTTCTGCACCCGATGGGAAGTACGTTGACTGATGACGGTAGAGGAAATAGATGAACAACCGAGTCAAGATGCAGGCTGTCAAGTTTTCTCAAACAAAGAACCAGTAGCCATGGCTGAAAAGCAGACGAACCAACAGGAGCTGGTTGGTGGTGTTTTGTTTCACAGACTATTAACAGCCACAACCGCTAAGTGGCCCAGGCAGTTGGAATCACGGCGATCTCGCATGAAGTTTCAAGTTGATTGGACCAGTTGGTCGGATTGGATAAGGATAAGGCTCGGAGCAAAGACTTTTGCCTTGTCTTTCTTGTGGTTTTTCTCGTCAGCACCGGATTTCCCTATTGCGACGGAACGCGGACACGGACATGGCCGAACGGAACAACTGGCTCTTTCTGGCAGAGATGTCAGAGTCGCAAGAAGAAAGTGCAAATCCAAAAGTGCCATCCGTTGAAGGACGGGTAAAGAGACTTTGGAGGCTGGGCTTGTCCAGGATTGGACTGACATGGCCGATCTTACCATCCACACCCCTGCCAAAAATAAGCACTGGCACCTGCATGTCGGGGAGGAGACAATGTAACGAGACCACATCTCACCATCGGACCCTCTCTCCGTGAGGCCAAGGAGAGGAGAGCCTCCGTCCATACGGAAAAAGGTATTATTTTTGCTCTGCAAGGATGATCTCTCCATCAACTTATGCGCTGTGCTGGCAACCTAACCATCCACGTCTCTTAGTCCGCTGCATATCGGACGCAACTCATCGAGGCCCCCGCAGCCACGGGGAGTGGCCATGATGAATCAAAAGTCGCGCAGATGTGACTGGCTGTGAGGTTGTGACCAGGCGTGGGGAGGGAGAAATTAACTGTAGGCAACACAGCATCCGGCTTTCGCGATGTTTGGTTATTGAGGTGGGCAGTTGTGAATGAGTGTGGATTTGAGAGAACAAAGAAAAGGTTCAGATGATGATTCATCTGCCAACACGTCAGATCGGCGAAGGACAATATCTGACCCGAGCACCATTGACCCGTGATTGCAATGTTTTGTTGTTGTGGTAGCCTCTCAGTTGAATAAGGCTCGGCATGTGGGCTATAGCGGGGCTCAGGGTCGACCCAGTGGGGACCCCAGCGGGCAGTCAGCTTTTAGCTTAATTATCCTGGTAATCCAACCTTGGCTTTGGTGCATCGATTGACCGACAGACAGACATCTATTCTGTAGTCAGGTACGCGAGAGCCTAGTACAGAATCTGCATTCTTTTTTCTCCGTCTTGTGAAAACCAGGTTTTTTCTTTGATATCTCAGTGTTTTCGGAGACAAAACTCCTGTAATGATCGCCAATGTTAAAACTGATCGTAAATCAGTGACAAGTGACGAAATCGGGAGTCTCCACTCTCTCCCGCTCTCACAGGGCTGGACCGAAGCAAAAACTTCCGCCCTGGATTGGGTTGCTTTGTTTAGACTCCCGCCAATCAGGTCACGAATTGCCCTGAGAATCAGGCTGTGGCGTCTACCTGCCCGCCCGTTTCACTATAAGCCACCCACTAACTCTACTTGGCTTGCTGGTTCCGAGGAAGGGAGCCTCGAACTTCCCGTCTCAACCTCACTCGACGAGTCAACTTCTATTGAGGCCTCTCCACTTTCATCTTTGGCCTCCAACTTCAAAGCACGCATGACTTTGTGTGCCGCACTTGTTCTGCTTTATTGTTCACGCAACATAATCTTACAGCCAATGACTTGCTGAATCACAATGTGACTGGCCAATTTGCACTTTTAATACGGGAAATTCTGAACCCCTCTACACCCAAAATGCTTCCGACATTCTTTGAGATCCGGCTTTCTATGAGCCACAGCATCATTGGCGTACCTTACACATCGAATCGGTGACACTTCTGCTGCATTGTCTATTATTATCACAGACCACTCCGCAAACTTCCTTTCCCATGCCAACGTCACGTCACAGTCTTGCGCGTCAAGCCTTGGCTTTCAGGCTGAAGAACGGAGAACGGAGAACAGAGTATCGTTGGATGAATTTCCGGTCAATCCTGATCCTAAACCATGTCAGATATTCGATCTTGTCTGTCATGTGGTGGCCTCGTTGTCAGCATAACCCTCGTGGGTTGTAATGTGATATTGTCACTTCTCCGCCCCTTCACGGCCCGTAGCTCTGGATCTAAGAGAGTGAGTGCGCGATATTAGAATCTCTCAAAGGCATCAGAACAAGGCCCTTGTCCAAGTGGACCTTCAAAGGTCGTGCTGCTTCCTCAATTGGGGCATATCTTAATGTGTATATCCCTGTCAGACCCTTGTTCTCATCCATGTTCGATGCATGTAAATGCATTGTTGCTCATGCTATGGATCGCTCGAGGTCAGCAAGCTCAGGCGAGGTACCCACAAACTCCTCCAACGCGTTTTAGCTACAGTGTTGTGCTCCCGCTCAATGGATCTTTTGTGATGTTCCTTGCTCTTTGTCTTAAGTCATTTTTACTTCGGTGACCAGACTAGGATCTCTTTAATTTGAGCTGACGCTTGGCTATCGAGTTTGATTACATACAACCTTTTTCACCTGGTGAATCGGCTCTGCTCTTACATCGACCCGCAACTTGGCTCTCCCAGCTGCTCCCCTGCCGTGTCAATACTCTGGGGTGGCTTATCCAAGAGTAAATTAACTCTACTTGTGGATGTCGATGTATGTGGGTTCGAATATCCGCATTGCCGGTTTCTGGTAAGGCACTCTCTGTTGCTCAGCCCCCAACCCAGTCCCAGGTCCTCTATCATATATCTGTGATATTCTTCAAGCTCAATGCATTGACTCGTTTTGTTTGACGTTTTCTAACATCTGAACCAAGAAGAGTTGGACTTTGACGTTCGTTTCAACCACACTCGCTACTAGGTCCAGACGGCTTTGACGCTGGTATCGCTCATTGCGTTGAAGGCAGTTGCCTGTCATGCGCTTCTCACTATTGCTCAGTGCCCTGGGCGCTGTAGCTGTCGAGATTCCAGCTCAGAATGCTGGTGAAGGTCTCTATCGCAGGAGTGAATCAGCAAGTATCCAACCTGCTGCTGCCAATACGCAGGCGCCCGCTCAAGATGGATACTTCGCCAGCGCTCCCGAAGCTCAGACTTCTGCAGCTAAGGTCGAGCCAGAAACAACAGCGGCTCCAGCACCCCAAGTCACCACTGCCGCTCCGATTGAGAAGGACGAGACCAGTGTTGACGGGGTCGATACAGCCGCCCCGTACATGGAGGACGGCACAATGGTGGTTTGGGACGCTGGGTGCGGCTGTCCTAAGCCCGTGACGACGACCGTAGTGGTTCCTCCTCCTCCCCCGGTTATCACAGACAGCTATCCGGCCAACGACCCAACCACAGTAGCCCCGCCGCCTGAGACTACCACCGAGCCTCTTCCACCGCCCCCAAGTATCACAGATACTTACATCGTAGTTCCGCCTCCAACCTATGGGCCCTCAACTACCACCGAGGAGCCTCCTGCGCCTCCAACGACAACGAGTGAAGCCCCAGCGCCCCCTACTACCACAACCGAGCCTTATGTACCCCCGACTACAACGACCGAGGCCCCAGAGCCTCCAACGACAACAAGTGAAGCCCCAGCGCCCCCTACTACCACAACCGAGCCTTATGTACCCCCGACTACAACGACCGAGGCCCCAGAGCCTCCAACGACAACAAGTGAAGCCCCAGCGCCCCCTACTACCACAACCGAGCCTTATGTACCCCCGACTACAACGACCGAGGCCCCAGAGCCTCCAACGACAACAACCGATTCGTATGAGCCTCCAACTACTACCACTGAGGCCCCTAAGCCCCCGACAACCACTACTGAAGCTCCTGAGCCTCCCACCACGACCACATCACCTGAGACAACTCAATCTTGGTAAGTCGCTATTGATCATCCAAATAGCTTTCACTAACACACTTGAAGCGCTCCTGGTGGCACCACCACTGTCACGGAGAAGGTTACAGAGAAGGTCACCGAAAAGGTCACCGTTACTGAGACTGAGAAGGTAACAGAAAAGGTCACGGAGAAGGTGACAGTAACCGAGACTCAAGCTGCATCAACAGTCACAGAAACAGTTCATGAGGGAACTACTGTGGTTGAGACTCGACCTGGACCGACGCATATCGAGACACAGCCTGGGGTGACAGTGACAGAAACTGTGCCCGGACCAACTTTCATCGAAACACGCCCAGGAGAGACTATTATCGAGACTCTACCTCCCGTCACAATCACCGAGCCTGGAGTTACAATCACAGAAGATGGAGGCACTGTTACGGTACCAGGACCAACAGTTACCGAGGCTGGAACAACTGTGACTGAGCCGGGCACTACTGTGACGCTTCCTGAAGTCACTATAACAGAGCCTGGCAGTACCGTGACTGAGGCTGGAACAACTGTTACTCTCCCCGAGGAAACTGTCACTGAGCCCGGAAGCACTGTCACTGAGGCTGGAACCACCATTACTGAACCTGCGTTGACAATTACCGACATCGTTACCATTCCAGGAAGCAGGGTTACTATCACTGAGACTGGGGAAGACGAGACAGTGACTGTCCCCAGAACTGTTGTCCAGCCTGGTGAAGATAGAACTGTCGTAAGGACTGTGACTTTACCTGGCCAGGAAACTGTTGTCACAGTGTCTGGTGAAGAACGAACCGTCACGGTTCCTGGAGAGCGTACTGTTGTTACTGTACCTGGAGAGCAGGCTACCGTCACCATTGAATCGGCCGTCACAGAGAGACTCCCTGCGGAGACTGTGACCCTGACTAAGGGCGGTGAGACGGTTGTCACAGTGGTTCCAGGCCCGACAACTGTCTACACTACTACCTTGACCATTGGCCAAACAGTACAACTCCCTCCTACCACAGTGACAGCCACTCCTGGACGCATCACCTTGTGCCCCAAGCCTACAGGTCGATCTGCGCCACTCGACCGCAAGTCGGATCTCACATTTGGTTGCGAGCCAGGCTATGTCTGCAACCCACCGAAGCCATCATGGTGCAACTTCTGGGCGGAGCCACCTGATGAGGACTACCTTTGTGAACCTCAATACTGTATCAAGGCTCCCAAGGTCAAGAAGGCTAAGTGGCGCAAGAACAAGACTGGTTACTACCCCCGTTCTCCTGGTTACTTCAACTTGAACCCAGAGGCTTTCGGTCTTTCTTATGATATTTTTGAGAAGCAAGTCTATGAGAAGACCGTGAGTGGTGAAATCAAGACCTTCTCGACCGGAAACTGGGCTTCACAGACAACCTTGAGTGACTGGCCTGATGCTACTACTTCAGTAGCAGAGTCTTATGACTATGTCCCCAGCAACAACCAGCGCCGTGGACTCCACATGTTCGACAGGCGAGATGTCACTCCGGCTATTTGCTACGATGACTGTGATGGTGCTTACAAGATCGCACTCTCAACTGGAAAATCGGACAGGCTGTGCAGAGCGGGTTCTTCATTCCGTGGCAGCTATGATATGTGCCGTGACTGTATCAGTGACAACACTTCCAAGAGCAAGAACACTATTCGCGACTATGTTGAGCCTGAGTTTAACCAGTTCATCGATTATTGTGACGGAAAGGATACCACGACTGCCACCACAGCTGCATCTGGTCCTGAGTCGCAGGTTACTGGATCTGCGGATGTGGAGACGACAGGACAGGTTGAGGTCACCTCTGGCGATTTCAGTGCCCTTCCAGTAACAACAGAAGAGTCTGAGCCTCAGCCTACCACTACTGACGCTCCTCAGCCTACTACTGAAGCTGCTGAGACTACTGAAGCAGCTGTCACCTCGGATGCTGCTGAGCCGACTAGTGTTGGCGATGAGAGCACCGAAATCGCGGAACCTGTTTCTACAGAAGTTTCTGAGAAGGCCCAGGCGACCACGGATGCAGCTGGATCGACTTCTGGTGCATCACAGCCAACCACATCTGGAGAAGTTGCTGAAGAGAGTTCGGTTCCGGCTGAGACAACTCAAAAGGCCAAGGCGACCGAGACTGAGACAGCAGCTGAGGAGACATCAACCAACGGGTCTGAAAACTCTGAAGCTGGTGAGTCTACCACTTTTTCTATTACAGCCAAGAGTGTTGTCGTAACTGTCACATCGTCACTTGGTGACTCTGAGACTGATGTAGTTTCTACTATTACAGAAACAGGATCAAGAACAGCCCAGGCCAAGGGCATCGAAACGGACTCTGCCGAGACAGGCTCAGAAACTGATGTTTCTGGAGCTGCCACTGAGACGACTATGAAAGCTACACGCTCTGGCAAGGCAGATGCTACTGAATCTGAATCTGAATCTGGAGCTGCCGCAACAGAGACAGAGTCAGGATCAGAGACAGAAACAGAGACCGAATCTGGCGCTTCTGGGGCTGCTACTGAGACCAGGTCGCGCCTCGAGACACGCACTTCATCGGGTACCTCAGACGAGACTGCCGCACCTTCAACTGTTGAGGCTGCTGCATCACGATTGACGGCTAGCTTTGCCACTATCATCGCACTGTTATCGATGCTAGTGGTGCTCATTTAATCTTCAAACAACAACCACTTTTTTGAACATATTTTTTCACGACACTCCTTACATAATGTCTATTCGACAATGACTACATGTTTATGTTTACGCTTCATGGATACTCAATGCACATACAGGATTTTGGAAGAGATGACTTTACATATTTGGATATTTGGCTTTTGCCACGACACTCATTTGGCGCATGGTGGGAAGCATATAGAATCAACATTGAGATACCAGACACTCCTTATATATATATACCACGGGCATGAGCGAGGAGATCATTTAATAGCAAGTAGATCACATGAATTGCATGGCATGCGGTTGAAAATCGATCATATTGTCGCCGCCGATTTGGCAGGCTGAGTTTTACAATCTTGTCGTCTGTTCTGTTCTGTGTGAGTCCGTGTGATGTGATATAGTACAAATGTAGAGTGCAATCGTCCATCGTATCATAGTACAATCTGACAAAAGAAATAATGATGATAATCGTCTCGAATTGTGCAACATCCGGCTCCGCTACCAGGCGCACCGAAAAGACATGTCTTGTTGATTGTTAGGAAATAGCAAATCTCTGTGGTTACTAAACTTACTGTTATTTATTTATTTATTTATTTTTTCTTCTTCTTGTTGTTTGTTTACCAGTCGCTTAGTCCAAGTTCCTTGCGTTTGACATAGAGAGGCTCGTCAAAGTTGCCAGCTTCAAGGCTCTCAAGATATGCAATCTCAGCATCGACTGTCGACCTGCGACGAGGGAAGACCCAAAAGGAAGGAAAAGACAGGCCAAGCATATTGATAATGTGTTTTTGTTATGGCTAACAACCAGTGTTGCTCTTGAGAGATATGAGTGTAGTTCTTGTGAGTGAAGTTACAGAAACTGGCTCAGACCTCTGAAAAAGCATTCCCGCCACCTATTATATATCCCAAACCCTCACTCATCCAGAATCTCAAATCTGAATTCTTGTAAACGCCTCCATCTTCAGAGATCCCAAAGCCCTATCGCCATGTCCGCAATCTCGCACGGAAAAGGCAAAGGTTGAACCCTTAAGGGTTCTGGGCTTTTAGCTTGGAATGCAAGGGGCACCGAACTTCTAGTGGCGGCTATCTATGCTGATCAGTCTCTAAGAAAAATAAGAGGCCCTAGTTTCTTCGGCATAGCTTCTGTGTGGAATGCTGACGCTCATAGATGCGGCTGTAGTGTAGTGTCAATCTCATAGAGGCTTTTACGTAGCGATCTTCTGATGGTTCCTGAAAGAACGGCGTCGGTCTTTAGAAATGTGACAACAGTAGAGGCTGAATTCAAACAATCAAATAGGAAATGCCATGACTAGTTTACGTCAAAGATTGTGGATGCTTCAACAAGAGTCTTTCTCTTTCATTCATTAACCAAAACCAGTATCTGAGAAAATTCATCATGTTCCAAACCAACCAACGCCGTCATTCCTGAGCTTGTTTTTCATGCACATTAAGCAAGTTACATCAAGAGCAATAGTCAGAGTCTGTGTCTGTATGTATCCAGCTTTTGCCTCCCATCCGTCATTCATCTGTCCAGAAAGTCATGTCTCATTCCACAACCAGTCCCTCAAGCACGCGCATTGCTTTTGTTCCTTCACTCTCAAATCGGTTAACAATCGACTCACACTCATACTTCAACTTCTTCTCGGCCTCTGAAGCATTGTAGTAGATCCACTCCTGCACTGTCATCTGCTTCTCAGGCGACGTCAAAATCTGACCCTGCTTAAGGTATCGTTCTACGCCATTCTCCTTGTCCGTGTTAACACGTGGTGATCCGAAGACAGCCTCGAGATCCAACTCTGTCCATGGTGCTGTGCTGCGAAGTCCCGCAATCACGTTGCGCCTGGATGGTGACGAGCGCGTAGGTGTAGAGTGCACTGGTGCAAGCGCTACTCTCTTAGGATTGGAACTCGTGGTAAGTCTGGAAGAGGGTGGTTGGTTCTCTGCGTCAGAGGATTGGGGAGATTGAGAAGGCGAGATTGCTGCTTGTCGAGCTGAAGGTGCGGGAGAAATGATTCTCCCAGGAGTAGATGGCGGGTTCGCCAGGTGAGCCGCGCTTGCGGGCGGTGATGAAGGCATAGGCTGAGGTGCAGGAGATGCTTGCGCCGATTCGAACGATACAACACGGGAAGAGGGTGGCCTCTCATCCTTCTGTTCCTCAGACGCGTAAACCTCGACGTCCTCTTGCATGCGCTCTTCAACCGGTTGGGTAAAAGGCTGCGTGGACTCCTGACTCGCCGCTGCTTCCATCGATTTTCGAGCTTCCAGTGACTTCTTTGAAGGACGCCCACGACCACGTTTAGGGGCCGCTTCACTCACTTGGCTCTCATCAGGTCCAGCAGATGGACGAGATGCCAATGAAGCCTTGGAAGGACGTCCTCGGGGTCGTTTTGTGGGTTGCTCCTCAGTGGGCTCAGGTGTAGCTTCTGCTGGAGCTTCGACTAGTTCCAAATCATTGGCAGATGCCCGAGAGGCGAGGGATGCCTTGGATGGGCGTCCACGACCTCGGCTACCTGTACTCAAACGAGAATTATCAGACTTCTTAACAACTGTGTCGGTGCTAACAAGACTGTCGTCATGGGCTGTCTCATCGGCCTGAGTATCTGCTTCTGGCTGTGCAGCCTCTTCATCGGGTATTTCGTGTTCTTCTGGCTGTGCTTGCTGGGGCTCAACTTCATCTTCCCCAACAGGCTCGGGTGCCGCCTTAGTCTTCTTGGACTTGCTCTGCTTAGAAGCTTTTCTGGTTCCAGGCTTTCGTCCCTTCTTTGGGATATGTAACTCCTGGTGTTCAGGCTCAGGCGCGGGCTCGGGTTCCACTTCTGGCTCTGGTTGAGGCTCATTTTGAGGTGCTGGCTCCTCATCAACCTCCATCTCAGCCTGTAAAGCTCGAAGTTCGTCGTCAACTTCGTCTTCGTTCGGCTCCACTGGCTCAGGATTCAGCATGGCATAGTCCCGGGAATACTCGTGTTGCTCGGCCTTGGCTGTCTTTGCTCCCTTCTCTTTCTTGCTCTGACGTCTTTCAGAATCAGAGTCAGCAGTGATCTCCTCGTCTTCAGTAAGCTGTCTCTCAAGATCTGCTTCGAGTTGTCGTTCAATCTCATCATCATCAGGGAATGTTCCAGGAGTTGCTTCGTAACTAGTTGTCACCTCCGAGGTCGCAGAGCCTGAAGATACGGTGCGAGAAGATTTAGCTGAAGCCTTACGTGTCGTCTTCTTCTTTCCGCCCTTCTTAGAAGCCGCGACTTCAGTGACATCAACCGACTCATCGTGTTGCAATGTCGACTCATTTACAGAAGCGCTTCCACGTTTCCGTGTAGCGCGCTTCTTGCCTGGTGGAGACATAGCCATGCTGCTGGCGTCTTCCACTGCTGTGCTGTCTCGCTTCTTCCCTCGAGCAGGCTTTGTTGCGGGTGCTTCTTCCTCGATGGATGCCTCGACATCTTCAACGGGTGCTTCCTTCTTAGCTTTTGTTTTTCGTCCTTTCGTAGTCGCTTTACGAGCTTTGGTCTTCTTTCCGCCCTGTGTAGTCGAAGTTGTCGTCAAGACGCTGTCCTCGATGGGAGCTGTAGAATCGTTGATGGAGGTCACCTCTGATGCGATTGTAGCGACCGATTGCGCAGACAGGCGGGAGGCTTTGGATGCGCGTCCAGCTTTGCTTCGACTAGATTTCTTGGTAGATTGCGTCTGTTCAAGAAGAATGAAGAACGGGCAGCCAGGTGACCGGTTATAATGCTCCTCTCTGTAGGCACCCAGTTAGTCCACGCGATATGGGAAACGAAGGTGCGAAACTCACAGAGGCTTGTCGCCAGGCTCCCAGCCGTCGAGAGCGAGTTGGCAGTAGGTACATGTAGCCATATCATCCGAGTCTTCAGTCGGGGTATACTTCCATCCTGCGTCAACCAGCTGCTTGGTTTTGCACTTCCATCCCTTCTTAGAATCATGGGGCCACTTGCCAGCAAATGTGGCCTTTCGAGCTTCCTTCATATATGGCTGATCAGGGTCTTGTTGCGCATAATCTCCGACCTCGGCTTCGATCGCGGCGACAACCGCCCAGCCACATTCAGGAGCATGCTTCAGGTGCTCGAGGAGAGGGTCGTCATTGGCTTCCCAGCCGTCGAGGCCCTTATGGCATAGAAAACATGTGGCGTTGTCGGGGTTTTCTGGTGTAGGGTTAAAGAAAAGTCCGGCGCGGGCGAGCTACATGATTGTCAGCGGATTTTTATGGTGCGAATATCGTGGTCATCGTACGCTCGCAGGTGTGATGCTCTTATGCGGCCAATTCAAAGCTTTTGTGCCCCTTCCACTCGTTGTAGAACCTCTCTTTTTCGAGTTCTTCTGAAAAGAGGCCAAACGGCTCTCGTATGTAATGAATTGGTCTGTAACGTCGTCAAAAGACATGGTTGTAGTAGTGTTGCGCGTGAAAGCGCGGTCAGTCAAGGGTATTTAAAACAAGACGCGATGCTTTGATTGTGGGCAAACAAATTGAAGAGCTTAGTCTAGTAGCTAGCAAGCGGTCGACAATGTAGAAAAAGAGAAAATAGAATAAATAATCGCGCTCATGAGAGGATATATTCAACTCGAAAACAAGGGCGCGCGCTGCGTCAACACAATAGAACTGAATGACGGTGAAAGACGGTTGTGGTGGAAGGAATTGAATTAGAGATGATCGTAGCGAGCGAGGATCTAGACAAGACAGGACAATCAAGCAACGCAAAGTGTCGGGGTGGGTCCTGGCGCGTTTGTTTACTTTGGTGGATCCCTGCCAGCAACTCAACCCCAGAGATCTAAACATCCATGGACTTAGGCCCTAGGTTACCAATAGAGCACCGAGAAATACAGTGCTTTGATACGGTGAGTATCAGGTGAAAATATTTCAATGTTGTTGGGGTTAGTTAACTGTCTATTCCGAGATATTCCTAAGTATCTATTATTATCAATTGGCTCAACGCTATATCTCCTAGGACTGCCATCAATCACAAAAACGCAAAGCTGAATCACAACTTAATCTCATATAATCTGACTCGTCAATTCTGACTTGAAACCCTGTACATTGATAGATCACAGCTTGCCAGCAGCCTTGAGTCCTCGCTCACCATCAACCAAGATACACCATCCCTCATGGCCTCGGCCACCATCACCAGCAACAACAGCTTCAAATGTCCCAGGAGCGTTAGCAAACTTGAGAACTGCATCATCAAAACTTCCAGGCTGCAGCCACACCGACGGAATGCCCTTCTCCTTTGCTTCTTGAAGCACCTTTAGGGTCGCTGCTGGTGGAGTAATGACTGACAGAGATGTCTGCGTAGGGTTTGAAAGAGCGGTCACGTTAGGAACAGTAGGGTGGTCCTTGTTCAGAGCGTTGATGGTCTCTGAGCCCGGGTTGATGGGAGTTACTGGTAAGTCATGGTGGAGATACCAGGCAAAGACTACAAGTTCCTTGATTAGCAAGATACTATCACGCACAATGAACAGGTAGCCTCACCGCGATGTCCGAACTTGGCAGGGTTAGAGCTGGCACCCGCCACAGCATAAGCGGATGATGCAAAGAATTTACGAACAGTAGCCTCGGTTGCCATTTCGAAGATAATGTATATGAGGTTCAATGGTTGAAGAACCAAGTGCTTGATGATGTTGTAAGTGAGTTTGTGCCGAGGATAAAGGTCATTGCGGGGCTCTACTTAAGACGCAATACCTCACACTTACAACTGATAGCCCATCAACCGGCCATTATAAATCATCGCATTATTCGCAATTTATAGGCGAATCATGAGGCACTTTTCATGTGAAACACCGTTGCCACTGGAACAATTCCCCATTCGGGCAAGTTCCCTCGTACAAGCGATGTATCTCCTAGGAGATTGTTGAATTGACTCTGCTGTTGGAAAGTTGTATCCCGCCTGACATCTATCGGCTGAACCGGATGGTCCCATAAGTCTATCAAGAGAGATTTCGAATGCCGTTTGAATTGAGCCTCTTTTGTGAACTTGTTTTATGAACTCTAACATGATCATGAAGTTGTCGTGAAATACAGGTGTGGTTTTCAACAGTTTGAAAGCTTGGAAGTCTATCTGATATACGAATGCTAATTTCAACCAGTAATCTTTAAAAGCGGAATATACCACAAGGGGATATAATATCAATAAATCGAGCCATTGGTGAATGAAGTCTTGATCGAGTTTTCCGTTGTAACTGAAGGGCGGTTTTGGTCAGTTGCAAGTTCACTCGGCCTCAGTGTTCAGGGTAACCAACAACGGCTTTGAACCATGAAAAACAACGCGGGACAGATCATGATCGGTAGTTAGCAAGCGAACAAGATCTACGATAAGCCTCATTGCATTAGCCAGGACTTGAATGATGCTAGCCAAAGCTGGGAAGACTCGAGCCAAGAGATAATTTCCGAGATCGCGGGATGAAATGAAACCCCCGTGATGGATTCAAAAGAGATTAAGCGATTACAATGACGTCGTTTTGGAATTTTCAATGTCACACGAAGGGTAGCAGCAATCTCAGGGTTTGCGAAGCTTAGTTTACCTTATCAGAAGTAGCTTTATCAGGTATAAGGTATGCATAAATAAATCAGGACTCAGGACAGACACAGAGTAGCGAGGAGATCCCAACTTAGAGCCGCCAGAACGGATAGTTTATAGAGTTTTTGGTCACTGAATTGGCGCAGAAGAGTCACACAAAACATGACAGGATGTGCCCTTCAAGACATGGGGCTCCAGGGTATCAATTAAAGACGTTTGTCTGCCTAGAAAGAGGAGATGAAACTTGCAGCGACGAAGATAAGAAATGGATGACCAAGACGAATAGCAGACAGATAGTAAGTGGTTTTGATCGACATTAGCTCGCATAAGTGAAACATTGAAAACTAAACTGTTGGATCATTGGAGAGTGTAGCCCAAGTATTGGCAGCCTGACTTGACTATTTTAACACGAAGGAAGGGTCCTTGTGAGGCTCTGCTGCATTTGAAGGGATGGATTCCATCCAATTTCACGATAGCCTCCCCAGGAAGAGCTTCTGCCAAGACATTTTGAAGTCTGAGAATTGTGACTTCGGCAATTGAATTTTATGTCAAGAGACCTCTTGAGCCGATGTTTGACATAACTTTGATTCATCCAAAAATGCCCTTGCATTATTTACTCCGGTTTCAATAGTTTCACCGCCAAACGACATTAGCGGAAAGAGGACATAATGAAGCGGGCAGGTTTGGTGATAGAGTCAGTATAGTGGTGCTCAGGCCTTTTCTGACCTACAGGCCTGGCTGACTTTGGCCCATAGCATGACCCCGTTGCCCCGTCAGTGTATGGGAAAAGACACCAGGGAGGCCAGAGCGTGGAGAGGAAATGCAAACGGAATGCAATCTTGGCCCTCTTTTCCTCTTCCTTCATCTCTCAACCTCTCAACACCATCTTCTACACTCGAAAACCATCTCAAAGACATCTTTTGACCGTTGTAGCAACTGTTTGTTGTGTCACCAACTCAACCAGCCACACACACCCACTAACGTCAACGTTAACCCCTCTAATAAAACAAACCAAAAATGGTGAGTGAGCTCAGTTGCCCCGGACACCCCTTTCTTCGCCCACGTAAACAATGCACCCTGCCCTCTGATTCGACAGTTTGGCCGCCCGAATAAGTTGGAAGTTGGTTTTGCTTCAGCTCGCCCGGCACAAGCCTTGGTTTTTCGACCTGCATCTTGCATACTTCTACAACTACCGAGTAGCAACACTTTCAATCGCATTCTTCAGAACGCATTTCCCACACACACTCGAGCCTCGAGATCAATCCATAAGCAATCATGTCTTCTAACAAGTTCGATTCTCAGGCTTCTACCAACTACAAGGAGGCTTTCGCTCTGTTCGACAAGCGCGGAAACGGCCGTGTCACTGTTGACAGCCTCGGTGATCTGCTGCGCGCTTGCGGTCAGAACCCTACCCTCGCTGAGATCCAGGACCTCGAGAAGAATGTCGGTGGTGAATGTGAGTACACTCTCTGCGATGCGGCTTAAAAGCGCACAACTAACTTTAGCGATGCAGTCGATTTCGAGACATTCCAGCGTGTTCTGAACCGCCCTGGCGGCTTCCGCGATCCCGGCGAGCCTGAGGAATACTGCCGCGGATTCCAAGTGTTTGATAAGGATATGACGGGTTTCATCGGCGTCGGCCAGCTCAAGTACATTCTGACAAACCTGGGCGAGAAGATGACTGATGAGGAGGTCGATGAGCTTCTCAAGGCCGTTGACACCAGCTCAGGCCAGGTCAACTACACTGGTAAGTTCGACAATCTTCACAGCACTTTGAGCAGTGGCTAATTTGATACAATTATAGACCTCGTCAGAACCATTCTCGCCAACTAGACAATGTACAGATATGGGCGGGTTAGGTTATGCATCTGCGTTGACGGACCGGCGTTTGCTTGTTTGATTGATTATGGATATGGATGGAATCGGCTATGGGAACACTGAAATGATGAATTATTGCTGCGCATTTGCGACGCACTAGCATGCTGGATTTTTGTAGATACTTAGGGGACAGGAGTTTAGAAATGAAGCTCTGTGTGTCTTGACTTTGGCGGTGTCTCATTTCGTGAAAATCATGGCATGGGCTCATGACGGCTGGTATAAGCAATCCTTCTATTAACTCTCGCTTCTGTTTACCTAAACAGTTTCACATAAATACCAATTAGACTCGGCTTTATGGCCTGAAGCCTAAATTATGCCATAATTATAGCACCTGATAACTCATTAGCCGCCCTGATCATGACGCCGCATCCGATTGCCCCGCGTTTTCCACCCATAAGCGGGTCCGAGAAGAAGCTCTACCTTAGCTGCACCTTCACTTAAGGTATCGCCCCATCTTGCTGCATCTACATAACGCCCTCTCAACGCCTTTGACGCCTAGAAACGGATCAATCGATTTAGTCTGAGAGAAAAAGCCCCTCTTTCAACTGTAGGCTGCCTCAATTATTCATCGTCAAGCCAATCGGCTAACATCCTAAGAAACATCCCGAGCCATCCATCATATTTATATCCAAGCTGGATAAGCGTGCTTCCCGCAGACCCCTCCTCCTCCTCCTACTCTCTCTCTTCATTCTTCTCGTCGCCGTCACTCTGGCTTCCTCACGAGCCTTCTCTCGTCTCGGCTCTTTAGTGAATCACTTCAGATTCCAAGCCCCACGAACTATTCTATCGAGAAGACAGCTTGTTACTAGCACAATGGCTCCCGACAAGTATCGCAACCCTCCTCAGGCACCGCCCCTGTTCACCGCCACCCCGGACTCGATCGCTGCCGATACCAAGAAGCTTTGTGATGCTACTAAGAATGTGTTGGACTCTGTAACTGCGAATGTCACCGCCGACAAGGCTTCATTTGCCAATGTGCTTGAGCCCATCCTCATCGACGAGAACTTGGCTGCTACACAGAGACGCATCTTGACCTTCTACCACCATGTTTCCACCAACAAGGAGCTTCGCGATGCCTCCACTGAAGCCGAGAAAACCTTCAATGACTTCGGCATCGAATGCAACATGCGAGAGGATGTCTTCAACGCCGTCGATGCTGCCTTCGCCAACCGAGCATCTCAGGATCTCACCAAGGAGCAGGCGCACGTCCTCGAGAAGGAGCGACAGAAGTACATTCGGAACGGTCTTAGACTGCCCGCTGGTCCCAAGCGAGACCGCTTCAAGGAGATCCAGAAGCGCCTGAGCGATCTTGAGATTAAGGCCCAGAAAAACCTCAACGAAGAGAAGGGTGCCATCTGGTTCACTCCTGAGGAACTCAAGGGAGTTCCTTCTGACGACATTGACATTGATTCCCTGGAGAAGGGTACTGGCGAAAACGAGGGCAAAGTCAAGCTGTCCTTTAAGTATAACCATTACTTCCCTCTCATTAAGTATGCTATCGATGCCGATACTCGCCGCAAGTACACCATCGCGGAATCTAACAAGGTGAGACGAGTAACGAAATTTCAAAATCTAGGCTAATTGAACCTTCAGGCGAATGTTAATGTTCCTATCTTCCAAGAGATCATCACCCTCCGAGACGAAGCTGCTCGCCTTCTCGGTTATGACAACCACGCCGCTCTGCGCATTGAAGAAAAGATGGCCAAGACTCCTGCTGCTGTTCGAACTTTCCTAGACGATCTTCGAACCAGATTGACCGAAGGTGGTGCGAAGGAGATCAACGCACTGAAGGAGTACAAGAAGAAGGACTACGAGGAGTGCGGCCTTTCATTTGACGACAGCTTCTACATGTGGGACACATCGTTCTACTCTAGAATACAAAAGGAGAAGGAGTATAGTGTAGATGAAGCCGCCATCTCACAGTACTTCCCTGTTGAGTCGACATTTGCCGGTATGCTTAAGATTTTCGAGGAGATTTTCGGCTTCGTGTTTGTCGAGCTCAAGCCTGAAGAGCGAGCTCGGCTCAGCCCCACTGGCAAGGCCGAAGACATTGTGTGGCACGAGGATGTTCTAATCTACAGCGTGTGGGACGACGAGGCCTCGGGCTCAAACTTCAACGGTTACCTGTACCTGGATCTTCACCCCCGTGACAACAAGTATGGCCACAACGCCAACTTCAACCTCGAACCTGGTTATGTCACTGAGGATGGCAAGAAGCATTACCCCGTCACCGCTCTTGTCTGCAACTTCAGTAAGCCTACACCAAAGAAACCTTCTCTGCTTAAGCATCACGAGGTTGTGACCC